TCCATTTTTCCAACTTAAGCATTTTATTTGAATTTTTTGCAAACTCCAACCTATTTTAATCTAATCTATCCATTTTTTTAGACTTCTCCGAGACTGCCAGCACCTGAGATTGGTTGATGTGAGTTTCTGTGATAATATTTCTGAAGTCCAGTGTGACTCATGGAGGCGTCAGTACCCAAATGTAAGCATCAAGCAGAGCTACCAGTCTGAGGCAAAGTATCGTGGTATTAATTCCTGACAACTAAGGAATTATAGGCATAAAGAGCATAATGTAGGAGGTGTCCATAAATCCTCGTCTGTTGAAGTTTCCCATTCAACATCTCATTTCTAATGGCTCTTCAGCTGCTCTATGGATGAACCATAGTCTTTTGTCTAGGCCTATCTATCCACAATCTATCCTCTTTCTAACTGTAAAATTAGATGCTGCTGGGGTACTGCAACTCTACATTATATTGATCTTGACTGATTGACTGATGTCGTACTAAAATTTCATCTTATATGATTTGAGAACGTCACCTACAGAATGTTTTAAAATCTAACTGATTTGACAGTTTAGACCCTTGCAATATTTATGTGATGAACACAACTGTGCCAGTTTCTAAATATAGATACTTTAATCTCTATTTAGTGGGCGTGCTACAGTGATAGACATAACTGAAATTACTGATTTCTGATATGTATTAATGAAAGATTCATGCCTAGTGGGTTAGATGATTTTTAAACCATCCTCATTGCCAAAGTTAAAGAAATTAAATGTGTTAAGAAAAATATGTACGTATTTATTTGGAACCTGTAAGTAGTAGAAATATTTTATATTACTGTATTTGTATAGTATGATTTTGTGTTCATGTCTTCATGATTCTAGTCTTTCTCTCTTTTATTGTGTGTAAACTTTTAAGATAAACAAAAGCTTGATGATCATTACTTAAGTGATTGAAAAATAATTGTGTGAAATGCCTCAATTGCTTCTGTATGTCACTCATTAGGTCTGAAGCGTCATACAGTAATTTTTTCTTTACTTATGTTTGTTACTCTAGTATATTTGCAAGTACAACATAAGGTCTACATTACTTGCATTGACAACTGGTTGTGTATCAAAGGCTATTGTACTTTTGTACAGGCCTGTGCTACTCAAATATATTCAGCACTCAGCAGTTTTAAATAGGAAAAGGAAGTTTGTTCCATTTTCGTTTTCTGTGAATCTGCTGAGGTTTCTTAAAGTTCTTTTAAGAGACGATGTAAGCTGTAAGAAATAAGAGTGCTTTGTAATCATGTGATAGCAATGTATGGTGATTCTCCTGGATGTGATGGAGTTTTAAGGTGTTTGGTTTGTTTTAGTGCATTCCTCTCTGTAATCTGGGATTCAGTGTGTAAATATGTCAGGCTCAACTCTTCATGAACCTAAATTCTGGCCACAGAATAGCTGTTTTGTTTTTTAAGCCTGAAATATTTAGTGATTGGAAATAATGAAATACTCTGTGTGCACAGTGATTTGCTGTAGATTTTGCCTGTGAGAAAAACAATACATTCCATTTTTATTAAGTTTGACTAGCTGTGCAAGTCGCTATTTATACTGTAGTTCATTTTTGAACATGTCCATTACAATGAAAGTCTGAAATCTGACCCTCTGAGACTGTATAAAATGTGAAGAGGTGTAAAGAAAGGAAAATGTTTTCTTTTAACTTACTGCCTTTTCTCAATGATTTTGGAGTGATCAACTGTGATTGTCATAGATTTGCTCACTTTCCACTATTTTTTCTTAAATTGTTTGGACAAGACTGACATCTAAAAAATTTCTGTTCTGTTTGAAATGCCAACATCTGTGTTTCTTCAAAGTATAAAGTTCTATAATTTATTGAAGGTTTCCAGAATTCCATTGATCTTTGTAGAAAATATGTGACTTTGATCTCAAAGAGGGCTACTATGAAATCAAACTAGAAGTAACATCCAATTCACATTAACACTTTGATGAACAAATATAAAAAAATGGACCCACCAAATATTCTAATTTTTCTAAAAATATTGTGGAGATTACTTTGAAACTATTGTTCTAAGTTAATTTGATTTCTGCTCATAAATTCTTTAGATATTTAGGTTATTATTCAAATCGTTACTAGAGTTTGACAATAATTTGCTTTCAGTTGTTGCCCTCTTTTGTAGCTCATTCCTGTAGTTGTGTATTGATCCTTTTAAGTGTTCCTATGAAGGCTTTTGCCTTGTATTCTGCCCACTTGTAATAATGCCTTTTACGTCTATCTGACATCTGAAGACAACCAGGGCGAATTGTGGGGTTTGCTCACTGTGTCGTTTGTTCAGTTTCTCCAAGCCCATCCAACGCAGTCCAAATTTTTTAAATTTAGAAATTGAATACATTAAACTAATACAAATATGAACCCACCACTGGATTTGTTGCTCCACCCAATCATCCTACTTCAAACTGAATTTTGAATCTACATGTAGCTGGTGTCAGTTTTGTAGCAATATGGATAACCCATATCCGATGCAGTATATCCTGCCCGTTGCCCTTTGAAAATTACAAACCATTTTTCTGATGTGCAGGTAAGCTTCTTAACCTGTTTTAGAACTAGCTAGTTATGAAATCTGATGTTTCCTTATTTGTATTTTCCGTTTTGCGAAAGTGATTATAAATTTTAGTTTTCCTGACCATATTCTTATCTAAAACAAAATATATGAGGAAAAAATATGATTGCTTGCCTCTTTCTATCTCCACACCCAATGAAAATCAGAACCGAGTACAAATTTTGTTTTATTTACTGTATTTATGTACATGGTAAAAGTCATCCAGTCACAAAATCCCACACACAACATTATTTGGAAGACATTTATGTCTCGTTTATAATAATATTTACAGGACTTCGGCTGGGGAATCACATTACTTGTGCGTCGAGCATCTCCAAAATAGTTTCAGCGTAGCACCTTACAACAAAGATAGGCTTCAACCTGCATAGTGTTTTAAAGAAGAACGCACAACGGTTTGGAGGGCGCCCTCGCAGGACCCGCCCTCAGTCTCAGCACACGTTATCGTATATGTCTTCCTCTGGGTTGGAGGGGTTTGAAGAGGACATGGTCCCCGAGAAGGTGCCGTCGCTGCCCCCCGTGTAGTACTGATCCTTACTCGTGGCGGAGGCGAACGTGTAATAGCCACGCCGCTCTTCAGAGCACGCAGTAGTCAGGATGACCCTGGCCCCCGAGACCACAACTCCCCGTCTCCGACGCGGACACTCGCAGATCTCGGCGTAGATGTTCTCCTCGTCGTCATGGTCCTTATTGCTACGTCGGCGGACGCCTCGAACCTCCTCCTCCTCCTCTTCGTCATCCTCATCTTCGTCATCATCCTCTTCTTCTTCCGCCTCGTCGTAGAGGGACCGACCGCGCCCCCTCCGCAGTGGGGTGTGCCCTCGGGCGACAGCGGACTTGGGCCCCCGCGGGACTGGTGGCCTGGTGGGCAGCGCGCTTGGCAGTGCGTCGGCGACTCTGCCGTAGGGCAGCTCGTCCGCGTAGAAGCGCAGCTGCTGCTGGGGTGGTGCGCTAGATTGCTGCTGCCGGGGCGGCACACCCACTGCCGGGATGGCGACGTGCTTGACGGCGATGGACGTGACCCCGGGGACGCCAGCCTCCGGCCCAACCCCGTTCGCACTGCCGGCCGCGATGACCTCCCCATCCTCCGAGGCGCTAGGGGCTGCCAGACCGAACAGCTCTGGAAATACTACGGACAGCGGCACGTCCGGTGGCGGAGGGCTCTGCGGCGACACGCTGCTCGAGCGGCGGAGGAGGTTCTTGATGCCGGAGAGGCTCTGCAGCTGTTGCAGCAGGTGGTGGGTTCCGCGATGCGTGCCGCGGCCCGCCGCCCCCGTCGCGTTTGTCGCGGAGGTGGCGGCGGAGGAGGCGCCGCTAGGAGGCTTCCCCCCACCCGCACTGCTGCCGCTACTCGAGCCCATCATAGCCGGGGACGCGTACCTGTGAAAAAGTTGTACAATCAGAACAGTCACTGGAATCATTGCACCTACGAGCAAAGTCTGCTCCGGAGAGCCGTCAAAGCTCCTCGCCTACCTGAAGGACTGCGACTTCTTGGTGCCACCCGAGGACAGCGAGGACGCCTTGCCACTCAGTGCGGAGCCTTCTTTGACCCTGAAGAGGGCGTGGATGGCCCGCGACCCATTCTCTGACGGCGATCTGGTGCTGCCGCCAGAGGTGGTCGAGGCGACTACCGAGGGGGTGATCGGACTGGGCGTGGTGGGTGTGGAGGCGGTGGTGGTGTCACCCGCCACGGCTGGGAACACGTGGTGGGTGACCTTGATCTGGCTGGACCATAGGTCCGCACGCTCCCGACAGTGCGCGAGCACCCTCCGCAACAACGGCGTCTTGAAGAAGCGCGCCTCTGCCTCGCGGCTCGCCAATGGGCGCATGAGCAGAAACTTGGAGTCCGCGTCCATCTCCAGGAACACGGGCTTGGCGTTGCTGTCCTCCGGTGGCGGAGATGATGACGACGACGACGAAGAGGTGGTGTTGGTCGCGGTAGGGATGGGGGTTGGAGTGGGGCTAGGGCTGGTTGGTGTGTCACCACTGGCAGTGGTAGAGTTGGTGGTTGAGCTGGGTGCGCAGGGCATCGCCCAAGACCGAGGTAACGTGCAAGCGAGGATCACGTCCTCTTGCTGCAAGTCCTCCAGCACCAGCAGGCCTGCGACAAAAACCGCCCGGACATCAGTACATGTACATGTACATTCTCACTTCTGCCATATAGCACCTGCACACCGCGCAAAACCAACACACTCACCCGAGAAGCCTCCCGGCAGCGGGCTCTGGATGGGGCCGCACACCAATTGCACCTTGACGGGCAGGGGCTCGGCCGTCAGCCGGAGTAACTGTGGTAACTGGTACACCCGGGAGAGGTCGACGTCCACGTCGACTTCGCCATGGTCCGCGTCTCCGTCGACGACGTCGTCCGTTGCCACGGCGTAGAAGGAGCCAGCGGCGGAGACGGGCACGAACACGGACTGCAGGCAAGGGTGGCGGTGAGTGCGCACAGTCCGTCGGGGTGGTCGATGCGACGGCTCCTCGTCAGCGAAGTCGCTTACCTCGTTCCTGGCGGTGAGGCACTGCGCGTACTGCGTGGGCTGGCCGCCGCCCATCCTGCTCAGGGGCAGGGCCCGGCCCAGGCCGGAGCCCCGACTCCCTAGGCCGCTGGCGCCCAGTCCACCGGGGCCTCCGGGGCCCCTGCGGGACCTCGCGGAAGAGCAGCCGGCCTCGTTGTCCTCGAAGACCGCCAGCAGGCGGAGCACCTGGCCGCCGCGCACCGTGCTGCGCGCGTACTGCAGGCGCCGCCCCGACAGTCCGCCGTCACCGTCCACACCTGCGGGGCACAGCTAAAGTCATGGGGTGGAAGAGGTGGCGCAGGTTGCTCGCGAGACTGTACCTGCTCGTAGTGCGGCCGTGGCCAGCGCGCTGCTGGGCTGGGTGGGGCCGTACCGTACCGTAGCGTACCGTAACCCACATGATACCATCTCCCGACCCCCTCCCCCGGCGTTCGTTAATAAGGCAGCTTGATCAGCCCTATCATGAGGCAGCGTTAGGAGGGCTTCTTGCTCATCAATTTCTCCCCCTCCCCTTCCCACCCGTGCCGTGCTAAACCCCAGTAGCATTTGGTCGTCGTCGTATTGTCTACGACTCCACCAGTCCCCCTGCCTCTTTCTCTATTTGTGATCGTACCGCTCTGATACATGACGTTCGCAAAGCAGAGATACGGTCCACAACGGCGCACTTGAAGGCAAGATGCGTTTGCGCTCGCGATATTAGAGCGCAGAAAGGCGTTTAGCCCACCGGATGAATCTTGTAGAAAATAGACTACAGAGTAGGTCGTACTCTGTTGACCGGAGATTAATTCGTCTTGCAAACGAATAGTTTAAGCAGTCAGTTGATTTGCACGCAACACGTTCTGCTAAACTATACCCTGTGTCGTAATGGAGTTAGTGTAAATAGCGTCCATTACAAATGTGGCACCCCGAGTCCGGTAAGTACAAGTACAACGAACTAGCTTTAAACATGCCGAGAATCCGTGGATCAGTCGCGGTCACTGCCTGTCCTGTAAAAGCAGTACAAGACGTCGCTCCCCGCACCAAGTTATTGCGTCGTGTAGGGTGTAGGGTGAGTGACGAAGTAAGAGGAGAGTGCCAACTTGCTCCATGTCCATAAGTGTGTAATGCCGTGCTCGGAGGTGTCTCTACTGCTTTACGACTTTGAGAGGGCCCCCGCGGCCTTCTCCCCCTCTTCCCCCGCTCTTTCTCCCGCACGGTCCCCGCCTAGGCCCCTGCTAGGGCCATGGGCTCCCCTCGAGCAATGCTAACAGTGTTTGATGGCGCAGGACGTGGAGTTCCGTTGGCCGTGCGTTACGTCGGTGAGCCGTCCATTACCTCCAGCGGCACGCCGCGGCCGCGCCGAGGGAGGCCTTTAAAAATTAGACAAATCCACGACATGGAGCGGCGGGGCTTATCTCGAGACGGAGGTAACCATGGCTGTGTCCATGGCCGCTGCCCCGTTACCCGCGGCGGCGCCGCCTGCCTCCGCCTCCGCTGGCGGGTAATGGCCCACGGCCTAGGCTCTTACGGCTCTTGGGGTTGCGGATGAGGATGAGGTCAGGGGTGAGGCCGTCCTCGGCACCGCGGGGCCCCCGTGGCCGAGCTGCAGCCCCACAAACTCTTCGGCGGGGCCGCCACTGCGCCTCGCCTCGCTCGAGCCTACAGCTCCAGCTCCTACTGGAGCCCCCATTATACCAGGACCATGGCCTTCCGCTGGAGTCTCCAGCCAGGTCAGCGCGAGCCCTTCCACTGGAGCCCGAGTCTGAGCGTCCTGGTGGCGCCCTGCTTCCGCCCGCTCGCTTCACTCTGCTGGACAAAACGAGCCATCTGCTATCCAGTGACTGGAGTCTCTGGAGTCCAGTCGCACGGCATGCGGCGCCACGCCGCGCCACGCCGCGCCACGCCGCCGCGGTGAGCCGCTGGCCGCGCCGCCAATAACGCGAGAGACTTTTGTTGCGAGCTGTCACGAAGGCAGCGGACGGTACCGTAACGCACGCTCCAACCGCACGCTTCCTGCCCCTCTTCAGCCCCCCCCCCCTATCATATTCGGTTAGGAAAATCCATCGGAAACCTCCCCCTCCCGTTCCTTTACACAACACATAGATATCTGATTGCGTGGATACATGGTGGCCTCTCCTCCCTTCCAAGACGAAAATATTTTTATTCCTTCCTCTTGTCCGCCATACGCGGCTACGCAGTGCACTGACCGGGCGACGGCGAGTGGGCGAGCTTGAAGCCGGTGAGCGAGCCCTTGCTGAGGAAGACGGCCACCCGCGCGCTCACCAGCTGCTGGATCGTCGTGTACACCTTGGCGCGGGTCTGGAGACTTCGCTCTCGCACGAGCGAAAACCAACCTGTAAAAAAACAGAAAAACAAATCAGCGACGGACCTCGTCGGGGCACATCACTTGCAGTCAGTTATTTAAGTGGTGGAGTGATGATCACTTAGACCTTAGAGGGACTTGACTGTACTCATTTATTACGTTGACCCACCCTGACCTGTGAAGGAATTAAACGCGCAATGTGCGCGTATGGGGGCCCCGGGGGAGGGGGAGGGGGGCACTTTGGATTCGCTTTGCGATCCCACGAGCTGGCCGGGGGCAAGTTCTGCCCGCCCCGCTCGCCCCGCCCGGGCAGGCGGTAGCTCGGCCTGGCCTTCTGCGTTCCTTTAGTTCGGCTCGGCCCTTACTCATCTCATAATCAGCAGAGGGAGGCAGGTCTATGGGCGCCGCCGCCCCGCCGCCCCGCCGCGGCTACGACCTGCACCGTCCAGCCCCATCAACCACTCGTTCGGGAGAATTTCCGATTAATTTAAGAGCTCGGTGCTCAAAGGGGCCTCCATCCATACCATACCATACCGCCGCCGCCGCACTCGCCAGCCCAGGCAGGCAGGCGGCGGGAGCAAAAAGTAAATGAAGAAAAAGAATGGCCATTAGCCCTCATAAAAGCAGCTCATATCGCTCAGCGACGCTCCGCGCGTTGATGCGATCCAGATGAGGCTTTGGCCGCGCCGCGCCGAGGGTGAGAGGGTGGCGGGGTGGGGCGGGGCGGGGTGCGCGAGCGCGACGATGAAAAACGAAGTGCGCGCCGTTAGCGACGGCATGGGCCGCATGGGCCGGGCAGCAGCGAGGAGCTCATGTGTCGGCGGAGGTGTCTGCGCGATGAGATTCCCGTCGCTGTCGCGTGCTCGTGTCGGCCGGACCCCCGATGGAAGCCGTCAGCTGCGTGCTGCGGTACAATAGCATCATCTTTGCTGGTACGCGGTTTTGTTTTGTTTTAATACTTTCTCGTCTTTTCAAACGAGAAATGCGTGTGCCCGGCCGGCAGCCACCGCTCCACGGGTAGCCATTAGTTTTGGACTATGCGCCTCTCGGCTTCATGGAGAGTGGCCAGTTCCGAGAAGAGAGGAGTCATACAATGTTGCAGACTTGGGGAGGGGGGGGGGCAAAAGGGACGTAAAGCAAAGAGAAGAGTTGGGCAGGGTAGGCGGTACATTATTGTGCCTGCGGGAGTAAATGGGCTAAAATGGGCCGTCATGTACGAGTAGGCTCGGCTCAGGTTCAGCCGTGAGTTTTAGTGCTTACCCTGGTACGAGTCCGGGATGACGAGCGGCGGGCCTGTCTCGCTGGCGGCGTGCTTGTCCCTGCGCAGGCTCCTGGCCAGTACCTTGCAGCTGGTGTACTGGCGGTACAGCAGCAGGGGCTGGGCGAGCGGGCCGCTCAGCGGCTGCCGACTGCCCTGCTCCGCCACCACGCGCACCACCCTGGGCAGGGAGTACTTCTCCAGGAAGCGGCGCGGGGTGAGGCGCTCACTGCCGGCGGCAGCCCGGCCGCCCGTGCCGCCGCCCGAGGATGACACCGAGGACGGCGTCAGCCTGGCGTCCGCCTTGGCGTGGGCGCCGCCGCCGCCCGACGAGGACGACAGGATGGAGGACGAGGACGCGGCCGAGGACGAGGACGTGGTGCGCGCCACGCCCGCCTTGACACGCGCCATGTGCTGGTGGCTGTTGTGGTTGTTGGCGTGGTGGTGGTGCAGGCTGTCCACGGCCATGGGCGGGAAGTGGTGGTGGTGATGGTGGTGGTGGCCGGGGCCCAGGCCCAGGCCCATGTGGGGGCCCAGGTGGGGAGGGGGTGCCCCCGAAGCCCTCCGGACCGCCACGCTGCCCTTCATGATGTCATTCTGCACCCTCCCGACGACTCCGCCTCCGGCTGCGACTCCGGCCCCGGAGGCTGCGCTCGGCCGCCATCAGGCCATTGGGTGGTCCCGGAGGGGTCAGGCGGGTGTCCCGCTACGGGTGTGCTGGCGAGTGTGCTGGCGGGTGTCCTGCAACAGAGAAGACGAGGCGAGTCAAGCAAACAGGTTCAGAGGCGGCCGCGGCCCAGTCCATCTTGCCATCCGTCGCGTCCCGGGCGACAACGCCGTTGCGTGGGCCGTGACGAGTGGTTCCATCCCGGTCAGGCGACGCCGCGCCCATCCCAGGAGTAACGACCCGGCCCGCTGCCGTATCCAGGCTTAGGCCCGAGGGGGATTAACGCCGATGCGGATGAGTTGTTTTTGACCATATCGCAAGGCAGACGCACATGGCTTGCGCTTCTCGGCGCGGCGGGGCTGCACGCGGGGACTTCCTCAGCGACGCTGCTCGCCCCGCCCCACCTCGCCCCGCCGCGCCCCGCCACGCCCACGGGCTCAGCTCCAGCAAACCTGCATCCACTCCAGCGACCACTCTGACCTTTTACTGGGATGGGCGAAGCACTGCGGAGCCGCGCGCTGCCGTACTCACTTTTCTTATTTGCCGACTTTATGGCCTAGCAACAAGTCTGCAGCGCGGCCGGGGCAGGAGTGGCGGGGCGGGGCCGTGGTGCGGTGAGAAGAGGGGGGAGGGGTTGTCACACTCCGCGACACTGTAAGCGACGCCTCGGTAAGCCCGTGACATGCGTCGCGACGCCCGGAGGGAACACGGCCTGGCCTCCACTGCGGCGGCGCCGCCCGGAGAGCTGTCGGTGGGGAGGGGAGGGGTTGGTGTCGGCTCCGGTGTCCGCGCCACGGGCACTTTACGTCGTGCCCTGAGAGCGACTTCCTGGGACGTCATCGTGGACCCCGACGGGAGCGCGATCACGGCCAGACGCCGCCAGGGCGACACAGGGCGCCACCGTCTCGGACCGCTGCACGGGCTCGACGGGTTGCATGCCCGGCGCGTCACGTTTGTGTTGAAACCGCCAAGCGACGCGCCTGCGGGTCGCCACCAAGGCCTGATTGGCAGATAAACAAGGAGCCGGGCTGTCCACGTGTGTGTGTGTGTGTGTGCGCTGTGTGCATGTAGTGTGTGTATGTGTATGTGCACTGCGGTGTGCAGTGTGCTCATGTATGTGCATGTGTGAGCCGAGCGCGGCAGAGCATGGCGGAGATAGATCAAACAAATGACAGGTGAAGTAATCCTCTACCCCGCCACCCGCCGCCGCGCCCCGCCTCACTTTCTCTGGGCGGGGCTGCGGGGCTGCGGGGCTGACTGGACGGCACGCCGAACCGGAGTGGCCAGGACAGGCGGGCAGGCCGCCGGGGGGCAATACCATGTGCCGTAATGTGTCACCGGCGTGTCACCGGGCGTGTCTCTGACGTGACGGCTGACGGCGCGCCGGCCAAGCCGCGCGACGACAGGAAGGGAACAGGAAATGATGGAGAGTCGCGGGCCCGGTCGCCGCGGCCCCACCCCGCCACCACGCTCAGAGGCCAGTCAGCTGCCGCCGAACCATGCCCTGCCCCAAACTGACGGCCCGGCTCGAGACGGAGTGCGTGCTCCTGCAGCCCCCTGAAGCGCCCTCGCGGCCGGGGGGTTCCACGTGCTCGCCGCTCCGAGCCATGCAGGGGCGCGTGGGCGCCATCAGCATCAGGGGGTTCAAGGTCCTCGTCGCGCCGCGCCGATCAAGCCGCCGAGCGGAGCAAAGGCGCTGCGCGAAACGTAACATCGTAACGCTCGTAACCGCAGTAACAGCGTCGTAACTGCGGCGTGCGGCGAGGCGCGGCGTGGCGGGGGAGCGGGATCGTTTGCCACGGCCACGGCTAGTCCACTCAGCCCTCGCCGCCGCCGCTGTCGCGAGCCGGGCGCGGCGCGGCCGTGCCAACGCTTACTCTAACCAACCGTGGCGAAAACCGCGCGGGCTCCTGGCGGCCCGCCGCAGCCCGACCCGCGGACCTGCGCCAGGCTCAGCCGCCCCCGCCCGCCCCTCGACCCCCGCTCGTGATGCCCGGGCAGGGCCTCCTTTGCTTCCGCGCGGAAAGTGAGTCGATTTCGTCTCAATCGACCGTAAAGGGCTCAATCCGGGCTTAATTTAGTGCACGCGCGCCGCGTCATGTCGAGCAGCCTGCAGGGGGGCGGGGCGGG